CAAACCCTTCCGTGTCCAATGTCTCCTCCTCGTCTCCTATCTCCTTCCAAACCCTCTCTACCACCTTGTCCCATCTGATTCCTTTCTTCCCTGGAGTCGCTTTTCCCCAAGCTGCCTTGTCAACCATGGCTGGTAGTCTATCGTCCGACATTCTACTTACCTTGTACTGCCAATTCAATTTTTGCATGTCCCTCTTTTTTTTAAGAGAGTACATTCCCAGTTCTGCTCTCAATACAGTGTTGCTGGTTGTACTTGAACATCCTAGTATTTTCTTGGCCGCTGCCATCTGTACCGTTTCCAGCTGCTTGACGGCCTTTTCGTTACCTTCCCATACCTCTCCTGCATACTCTAGCTTAGGTACAATCACATTCAAGAGAACACACCTCTTAATCCTAGTGTCTAGGTGTGGGTCCGTAAGGATCTCGTCCATCTTGCCTATCTGAGCTTTACCCTTCCCAATCAACTTTGCTATGTGTGCGTCCCATGAGCACTCCTTCGAAATCTCTACTCCCAGGTACGTATACCTGTCTACTACCGGTAGTTCTTCCTCCCCCCATTTCCATTTGAACTCTAAATTACGGGATTTTTCTTGTCTTCGTTACAGACCACTACTGCGCATTTTCCTACGTTCGCCGACAGTCTCCATTTTCGGGTGTATCCTACTGCCGCATCTATTTGTTCCTGCAACCCTTCTGGTGTTTCGGATACCCCCACGAAATCATCTGCAAACATCAGTCCGGACACACTCTTTCCCCCTACTTGGACTCCCTGTCTTACTGCTTCAACCGCCCTTATCAAGTCGTTGATGTAAATCTTGAAAAGAGTGGGTGACATCGTACAGCCCTGTGCGACTCCTTGGAGTATATCCACGTACTATGAGATTTCCCCATCCAACATGACTGCACTTCTTGTGCATTCTGTCATATTTTTCAACATCCTCCACATATTCCCCCGGATCCCTATGTCCCACATCTTTTTCCACAATCCATTGCGCCAAACGGTGTCGTAGGCTTTTTGTACATCTAGGAAGAAACAGTATGTCGTACGCCCGGCGTCTTTCCTACCTTGGATAATTTTACTCAACGTATATACATGGTCTACACAACTACGATCTGGTCTAAATCCAGCTTGTCCTTCGCTGATCTTTTGTTTCCCCACCAACATGTTCCCCATTCTATTGTTTATCATCTTGCCAAAGAGTTTCCCCACTGTGCTCAGCAAGGTTATCCCTCGATAATTCCCCGGGTCAGTTCTATCCCCCTTTTTGAACAGGTTCACGACTACTCCTTCTCTCCATCGCTTCGGCGCGTACTCGTGTTTCCATATCCAGTTGAATATCCGGACCAACATGTTAATCATCCCCCCCCCTGTTTCAAAAGCTCATTCACAATTCCATCAGCCCCTGCCGCTTTTCTATTCTTGAGTTTCGCTACACAGTCCTCTACCTCTTCTCGTGTGAACTCTCCCTGCAACCCGTCTACATCACTACATTCCCTCCGAGATCTTTCAACGTTTTCCTCTGCCCACGAGTTGATTTCCTTCTCAAACTCCGAGTCGAAGTTGTCGTTGGTGGTGGGTGTCCCAAGTTTGCGGTAGTGCTCTACTAGTACTTCCCGCTTTCCTTTAGAACTGCTTACCATCTTACCCTCGGCAGATCGTAGTGTCGCTATTCCCGTGTCTCCCCCTCTTTTCTTGCCCACTATCCCTTGAATTCCTACCCACATTTGCTTCATCCCCCCCTCAAAATCTTCGTTAGTCTTTTGGACTACTACTTCCTCCCACAACACTTTCTTCTCCTTCACCACCAACTCCTTCACCCTCTTTCTATTTTCAATATACTCCTTCCATCCTGCATCGGTTTTCCCTGCCGCATATTTTGCGTGTGACTCTCTACGTACTCGAATTGCTTGCTTGATTTCTTCGTCCCACCACTTCACTGCTCTCTTACAAACTATCAACTTTCTACCGAGAACTCTACTTGCCGTTGTGTTTACTAGCTTTTCCCACCCTTCTATGATTCTAGATCCGGCCTGGTCCCGACCT